ACGTCCTCCGACTCCACCTGGCGGACAAGGAGGAATGGGTCCTCGTCATCTCCGAAGCCCGCCGCAAAATCAGACGATCTCTTGCAGGCAGGCGATGATTGATGTGGGAACTGACCCACCCTACTCCCCGCCCAGCAGCCCCCTGACTTACTTGTCTACATATTCACCCTAGTGATTCTGGTACCGGTACATCACAAGCCACTCGTACCCCAGTCTAACACATACATATTCTCCACCCCACCTCGCGTGGGAGAGCCGATCGTCCCTTGACACTTTTGACTTGCGAGCAACGTTCCTCTATTAACGCCTCCACGTGGTTCAAACTTTGTTGACCAAAAGCAACCTAGTTCCTGGCCTCTACAGCCGTATTACACCGGCAGTTGGATACTCTAGAAGTAGCATAATACCAATTAATGATTCAGTTATACATAATGAGTTTGTTCTGAGCGCTAAAGGCACTCACTATAGAGCACATTTTGCTTTATTCTAACAAGCTTCTTCCAATCAGTTTGATTTGGCTTCTGTACTCTTGTAGAAAGTACTGAAATAGTTGGAGCAATATCCAATCTCGCTCTCAGAGCTTTGCAGAATAGAGAATCTTGTTTTGAGCCATCTCTGTTTCTCTTGCAACAGCTTCGGTTTGAGTTGGAGCATTCAATGTTGGAGCGATCGCATTGAAGTCAATCGACTTTCCATCTCAAATCGATTTCACCATGTCTTTGGAGCATTTCATTCCAGAAGCTTGGATGTAGTCAATCACTCTTTCTTCGGCATCTTCGTACAACAATCTTGCCTTTCCATTGTTTTCATCTTTCGTTGAAAATAGATGTTTCACAACTGTTGAACTCGAATTGCTATTGACTTTCTGAGGAGTCACACGTCCTTTTCCTCCACCGGAAGAAGAACGTCCCATAGTTAACAAATCACTCACTCCTTTGTAGATAAGGCAGTGCTGTTCTTGATGTATATTTGTTTTGTTGCCTTTTGTGATTGAATGTTAGAATAAAGCAAAATGTGCTCTATCGTGAGTGCCTTTAGCGCTCAGAACAAACTCTCTGCAATCTAAATTCGTAATTGACTGTACAACACTTTCACGACAATAGTTCTCCTCTGTTAGGTATACTTTGAGTGAAATTGTTCCTATTTGATTAATGTTTGGCTTGAATTGATGATTCAATCACAAAAGTGAGTTCAACAATTTTCCCTTGGAAAATCCCTTGTTTACAGAACTCGATTTGACTTCTACAAGGATTCTGTGTTGAATGCAGTACTTTGGGACATCTTGTATTATTCCCTACTGCATCGTACACAACATCAATATTCCACTTGTATAGGGTCTTTCCCTTTTCGTGTGGATACAGAATGTCCGGCAGACTTGCGTCGAATCCTGACATCACGATCAAAGTCCGATCGCACGTGTCGAAAACTTTGTACTTGAATAGTTTCTTTTGGAACGTAAAAACTCATATTTCGTCATATCCCAACATCAAGGTATACAAAACAGGAGGCGATGAGTTGACCGGGAATTGGCGAATGCTGATGTGTGGTTCTCAACGTTCTCATCTGATGACATGTCGTATATCTATTTTACTACTAATTACTATAAGACCCATAAGACCGCTAACAATTGAATCGTATTGGTCCGGATCACGAATCCGTTCCTGATACAATTCTGTCATCTTGGGCTGCGCAGGAAGCTCTAGCACGGGGGCAAAAGTTGGGGGGTCCAGTCCTACCTTGAACCTACATTGCTATACCTCTTACATAGGTAGTGTTACATCGTAGCAACACTCTTGCAACCTTGCTGTCCGGACACACCATCATAGCATGTTGCAAATTGTATCCCAAAGAGTTGTTGCTCGACTCCCTCTGGTCATTTTGGATACTTTGTAGCGAGCAAACAAGAGACAGCGCTTCAGCCACCATGTTGGCCTCCAAGGGGTTGTGCGATTTGTCAATAAAGTGTGACGAAGTCATGTTGTGAGTGAGCAGGTCTGATGCCTTCTTTGCCATTCGAAGTGCCTCTCCAACCACTTCTCTTGAGCTTGTAAGATCTATTTTGCTTGCAACACTCTTTGCAATTACAAGCCATTGCATTGGATCATTTGGCTTCCCAATGATTTTCGCTTGAGTCCCAGAGACATCAGGGGCTATATCTTTTCTTTGAGGCGTTCTCACCATAGGTTTCTGCAGACACTTTTCCATACTTCTGGCATTCACCCTTTTAGTTACACTTGCATCTGAGAGCCCCATCCTGGTAAGATTTCTCGCTTTCTCAATTTCATCGTTCCTCCAAGTAGCATTCTTCGCGAGAGCAGCTTGTTCCATGCCCACCAAATCAGCCAAGAGCTGTGCCTCTTCACGAAGATAGGAGGTCGTAGCTAGAAATTCATTCAGAAGCGCGAGGGTATTCTTCTTGTGATTTGCATAGACCCCAAGACAGCCTTTACCCGATAGCATTCCTGTTGCAGCGAGTCCAATCAGAGCATCTGGTTGCTTCATAACTTGTAGTGCCGCCCGGTATGCATCCGATGCCTCAACAACCATTTTCAAATCATCCGCTTTCGCCTCGAGGCGTTCGCCTGATTTCTGTTCCAGTATAAAGGCACGATTGACCCACATCAGCGGCGTATCCGCAACTTGGGTCAGAACATGCATTGTCTCTTCCGAAGCAAAATGCGCATGAAGCTTCGTGTAGAGAAACCCAACATTGGTATAACCATCAGGTAACAACCTTTCGATTTGCAGAGATCGGCAGAACGCATCTATGACAACAATTGGTTTGACAAAGATTTATTAAAAAAACGAAATAGATAGGTACAGAAGTCGGGAAAATACTTACGCTGAGCCAGCAAAGGATCGTCAACAGAACAGCCAAAACCACACCAAGCAACTGCACTGATTGGAATAAAACTCAACGACCTTTCGAATTCATTCGCAGCCTTTTTGTACATCGATGTGCATACTGAGTCAATACTTCCCGCTTCGCATGTTGATGCCACAATCTTTGCTTGCAACAGAATATTCGAGGCAATGTCACAACGGTACGAAGCTTGTGAGCCAATCGATTGGTCAGCATGTAGACGCGTTTCAACTGAGGCCAGCGCTGATCTATATGCATTCTCTCCATGAGATACAAACTCCAACTGTTTCTTCACGTGTCCACCCTGCGTCGTGTTGGCATCGTCGTGAGTGTGGTCGAATAATGCCGAAGGGATCAAGGCTCCAAATGAATACAGGTCTCCGAGAAGCTTGTAAATACAATCAAACTCGTCCGATAATCGCAGACATCCATGAATGGCTTTTGTCACTTTTCCGAATGCAGACCCAGCTTTTCCGTCTTGGAGATCACGCTCGGCGAGAGAAAGTAGGGCGACGCCTTGTCCGTATGCAGCTATAGACTGGAAATCGCCAGAAGCTCGATTTTGCAATATCTCGGCGAACTTCTCGGCAGCTTCTTCAAACAAAGCCAATTCTATCTCGACTGGAACAGCAATGTCATCTCTATTGAGACTGCACTAGCACAGAAGCGTTGGCACTCGATGACCGTAAAGACTTACCTTGAGCACATGAGCAGAGTGCAGAAAGTGGGACCAAATTTTCTGCTTTGGATAGTTCAATCGCTAGATGAAATGAACGCATTGCGGCCGTGAATCGCCCAAGCCGACGATAACAAAGGCCTATGTTTTCGAAGACGATAGCTTCTTCGTTCAATCCCTCGGAAATCTGTCGATAAAACAAATCATGAACCCTATCTTTCGCCTTTCGAATATCTCGACAGCGAGCAGCCTTCAGCAAAGCAACAAGTGCAAACTCATCCTCTCCCACCATCACTTTCTTCAATCCTACTGCATTCCATGCCCAACCATTCCATTTAGAGTTCTGTTCCAACGCTGCATCAATGTATTCTTGTGAATTTCCGTCCGTCGCTATTCTAAGGATTCCACGACCTGCAACCGGATCACAAGGATCATTAACCAAGCATTTAGAATAGCATCCCTCTGCACGTGCAATGTCACCCTTCTCCTCGAACCAATATCCCAATAACGCAAAAGGTCTGGCCTGTAGCGGATCGAGCTTGGCGGCTTTCAGCAAATGTACCTGTGCTTGCTTGTCGACTTGTTCCGAGCGGTTATTATTGACAAAAAAAGCCATTCGAAGGAGAAATTCCCCGAGAGCGAGTGCTGCAGGAGCATTACTGGGAGAATCATGCACTGCGGCTTCCAGAAGGTCCTGAGCTTCTTTGTAATTTCGTTTCGCAACCAGAGAGTCAGCAACCAATTGGCGTGCAACGCCAAGCTGATACGCAAATGCTTTGGATGCGGAAGCAGGATCGCGCCAGATATGAAACGGTGCAATGGGATGGTTGACTTCAAGAATTCGCAATGCATTCGATGCAAATTGTTCGACGGTTCCGTTGTTTTTTATGCGTGCTCCTCCCGCACAAGCACTAGCCAATCCGTTGTTGCAGTGAGACTGGAACAAAATTCTCGTCCCTCCATCCATGCTACGATCGTTCTCCAGATTAGCCAAAACTTTTAGGTACAGATCACAAGCTCGCTGCACTGAGCCCCCCTGCAAAAACTCTGCATCTGCGTGTGCCAAATCAAAAATTGTCTCCTCAAGTGGACTCAGCGGACGTCCAGCATCTAGTTTCGAAGCTGCCAACAAAGACCGTACATCGCCGAGCCTAGAATACAGAAACCAAGAAGGCTGATACCATCCTGACCACGAGACGAGACATCGCAAATGCCCTAGTGGAAATTTGGTCTCTCTTGATTTGTTAGCGACAGTCTCCTGAAAAATCTCGAACAAATGAGCTTCGTTCTCTGTACACAAGAAACATTTGATCATCGATCTTGCATGCTTTCTCTCAGCAAGAATGATGGATTCTCTCTTTCTGGACAACCCTGGTGAAAGTTTCTCGTCATTAACATTCGTACAGGAAATAACATCCAAAAGAAACTGGAATTTTTCGGTCATCGGTTCTGGGTTGTAAGGCAATAACATCCAGTACGTAAGCGGTAGGGTGTATGCAACTGACAGCAGCATAGACTGAATACTCGGGGGTGTTTGGCTGAACCAATTGTAGATCTTGCTTTGGCGTCCACCGTGAGGCATATTGCTATTCCACAAGCTAGCGGAAGAGGCTCCTTCGACCACCGGTCGCGTGTACTCGAGAAGAATCTTCCACCCATCATTGCTCTTCCTAAGTTGAGCTTTAGCTCTAAACCTTAGGAGCGCAATTTGTGTCATTTCAATACAACCAGGGAGAAGAGAAGCACTGCCAGCAGAAAGAGTGTGCAGGAGCACATCCCGGACGCCGAAAGAAGCTTCTCGAGCAGGATCTTCTAGCTGCGACAGCACCTCCTCCTTGCACATTTCTCGGATGGCAATCATAGATGCAGTTTTTGACCGATTTACGCTTGCGTTGTACCGCTGTTGTGCCATTTTATCTATTTCAGCGTCCTCAGCGGCAAGCTCGACACGGAGGCGCAATATCTTGTACAATATCTGATCTTCCTCTTCCAAATTTTCAAACAGGGCTTCGCGGAGAGTCGATTTCGCAAATTCGGCCACCTTGACCAGGTCTTTCTCTGGGTGATGGGAGCTCGAACCCGCAAAGATTACAGAGGGACTCTCCTCTGGAATATTTCTATTTGTATTCAAGTAGCTCCTGCACAATTTCAGTCTAAGCTCTGCGCTCCGTTTAACGTTTCCCTTCGACGATGCAATTGTCACTAACTTCTCAATAATCCTCTGAGCTTCGAAAGGTGCTTCGTCATCATGCTGGCGTATCATCAAGTCGAAAACTTGTCTCCACATGGTGGGTTTCTCTGGATTTGCTTCAGCTGCCCGGAGAAAATATCCTTTGGCCACCTCTAGAGGATCAAAGTCTTGTCGAAGTAAAACTAAAAGCCTTCTATCCTTGAGGTCCTGCGCTCTTTTTGTAGGACCTGAAGCCTCTGTCAGCATTGGATAGAAAATATGCTTACTTTTGGAAAACTGCTCTGCTAGTTTGCCTGCAATTATGTTGCCACCTGATATCAATGGTTTTGGGACGCGCTGATCGTCTAAAAGCGGCTTTCCTACTGATGACAAGACCTCTCCCCACAATTTCTTATCGTCCTCTACAATTACACCTCGAAGAAGGAGTTCCATCTTCAAAAGGGCGCAATATGTTCCCTCAGGGTCGTTGGCAGCTTCGTCGTTGTCTAACCATCTTGCTTTGACGCCACCCACTACTTTTTTAATCTTAGGAACTGATGGTGCTTGCATGACTGCACCATTCCTTTTCAGAAAGATGGAGTCGCAATCGCAATCTTTTGTTGCTTCTCTGCAAACGAAGCTTTTCTAGTACTATACACGATCACAATAAATAGGCTTTTCAACAAAAGAACGGTTCGGAGTCCTCAACAATGCTCGCCAGCCATCTTCGACATGCTTCTCCTTCGAGGAATAGAGTCTCTATCTTTCACCGCAGGCATCGTCTTGTCCCCAGTTTCCAGTGGAGCTTCTGCAATCTGTCCACAAATGGAAACAACAAACGTCAAGATATACCAGAGACAGCATCACCAGTGCGAATTGCTAAGGCCCTTTCGACTCACCTCTGGCCCAGTGATGGTTCATCTGAATCGAAAAAACGAAAGAAGCTGGTGCTCTCTTCCCTGGGTTTGATGTTCGCCGGAAAAGCTGTGACAATTCAAGTGCCTTACATCTTCAAGCACTTGGTTGATTCGCTACCCGTCGAAGCGGTAGATGTTGCAATGACTACTGATGCTGCAAGTGCTGCTGGTATACCCATATTGGCTTTGTTGCTAGGATATGGCATGTCGCGAGCTGCGAGCTCTGGATTCAATGAGTACCGAAACGCCATTTTCGCTCGTGTTGCACAAGAAACGATCCGTAAAGTTGGTCGCAGCGTATTTGACCACGTCCACAGTCTAGACCTTCAGTTTCACCTGACCAAGAATACTGGCCAAGTTAGTAGGATCCTCGACAGGAGCAACCGTTCCATATCTTATGTTCTCAATGCTCTAGTGTTCCATATTGTTCCAACAGCGGTAGAGGTTGGGCTTGTCGCGTCTTTAGTTGGGTATCAGTTCGGCACTTCACATTCCGTGGTCATCCTGACTACAATCGGTGGATACACTGCCTTTACTGTTGCCATTACACAATGGCGTACCAAATTTCGACGAGACATGAATCGTCTTGAGAACGAGGTACGTTGGAAAGTTTGTTCTTACATGCTACGTGTCACGCAAGACCAACAAAATCATCTGCTTTCCACCCTAGGCATCTGGCAGGGTTGTTGACAGCCTTGTAAACTTTGAAAACGTTCAATACTTTAATAACGAAACACATGAAGGAGACCGATACGAATCATCTCTAAAAGGGTACCAGAAGGCGTCATTGGAAGCTCAGAATTCCCTCAGTCTGCTCAATTTTGGCCAAGCAGCAATTTTCAGTATCGGGCTAACTTCTATCATGTATCTTACGTCGCAACAAATCATTGCTGGAGATGCAACAGTGGGCGATCTAGTTCTTGTGAACGGACTACTCTTTCAGCTTTCGCAGCCACTCTTCTTTATCGGATCAGTGTTTCGTGAGTGGAGCAATTGGACTGTGTAGGACCCCCCGTCTTGGTTTCTGGCATGTTCTCAACATTCTTCTTCTTCCACAGGGGAGGTTCGTCAGTCTCTTCTAGACATGGAACAGACCTTTGGCTTGCTGGATAGAAAACCGAGTTTGAGTGATGACGGGAAATCGCTGTATGATCCGAGCGCAATGGGCACAGACATAACACTCGAAAATGTAAAGTTTTCTTACCCTGGTGGAGCAGCTCGTTCCATACTGAATGGGGTCAACTTGGAAATAAAAGGGGGAAAGACAGTTGCTCTAGTCGGTAGCTCAGGATGTGGCAAATCAACCATTCTTCGACTTCTCTACAGGTTTTACGACCCTACGAATGATGATGGTACCATATCTGTAGGTTCCCAAAGGCTTTCAGACCTGAAAATAGACAGCCTGAGGAGAAGCATAGCCGTGGTGCCGCAGGATACTGTACTATTTCATGAGTCTATTGGCTATAACATTCACTATGGTAACCTTGATAGTCCGTGGGAAGACGTCATCGATGCTGCGAAGAAAGCCAAAATACACGACACTATCATGTCCTTCCCAGATGGATACGACACGGTTGTGGGAGAGCGCGGTCTCAAGCTCTCGGGAGGTGAAAAACAGTAAGTGAAGCCAATTTCTTTTCGCTGGCGGTTGAGCCATCAATGGATCTCACATTCTTCGATAGGAGAGTCGCAATTGCGCGAGCCATCATGAAGGACGCAGATATCATTCTTTGTGACGAACCAACTTCATCTCTCGATTCAATGACAGAAACAGATATAATGAACAACATTAAACAGTTGGGAAAGAACCGCACAACGATCATCATTGCGCACAGACTCTCCACCATTCAGGACTGTGATGAAATTATATGTCTTCACGAGGGCACGGTCGTTGAACGCGGAACGCACGAGGAGTTGCTGCGTCAGAACGGACGTTACAACGACCTTTTGAAAATGCAAAATAGTTCTTAGCTCCTGAATTTCACCTATTGTGATTTAGGATACTTGGTTCCCAGCATAATGTTTTGCGGTTCTTTTGCTGTTTGTTCTCCTTTGCATGTGAGCTGAAGTTTGTGCTCTGATGTGTGGTTCAACGTGTACTTCTTCATTCTTTCTCTTCGTGAGCAGCTAATGCTGAAAAAATCCCGTCCCATAAAGTGGTTGTTTCCGAATAGGGAACAATATAAAGAGTACTGTAAAGTCATGAAACAATTTTTGCGGCATGTATAGCTGTTGTGATCACACTTGTTGCTGGAGAAGTTCCAGGAACTGTAGCTGTAGTTGGGACAGTTGCTCCAATCTGATTAAGATTGAGCTTCTTCCCGTAATCAACATAGTGTTTCGGATGCTTCCATTGACTCTCTGGTAGCAGTCTGTCTGGGCATTTTG